ATCAGGTACACGGACTAAATAGCCCACCCGTGCCTTCAAGGGCACCTACATCCAACCCCCCTCATAGATAGAAAGAATAAAGTGCAATAGAAGAGCATGTCAAATTGATATTGCTGATGGCGTGGTAAATCCCTTGACGCGCGCGTTTCACCCGACCAGGCTCGTCAGAAGGGAACCAGTCGATGTGGAACACTCAGTTTAAAATAGAGCCAGTGGCTCGTGATTGGTCAGATCAAATATTTCTGATTGGTGGATATCTCAACGTCATGGGCCATTGAACCGCCCAATTCATGACGTCAGGGGAAGACTAGTTGATTAACCCCTTCTGGTCCCAGACAAAGAGCACAGTGATACCAGAGGATATATATTCTTAATGTCTCGGCTAGAAAAAGATAGTAATGATAATAATGAAAAAAAGGGCAAGAAAAAGATTCCAACAATGTAACCCAATCCTATTAATGTGAATAATATACACCCATTAATACCACATTGAAGTGGTGAGAGTATGGATAAGAAATATATATAATTAACTCCTTGGGACAAAAAGAAAGGTCTATCAGAGTGTATGAAAAAGGGATGAAGTATCTTGTTATTTGTATCATGGTCAGAAGGACCGAGAAGTTATGATAATGAAGACTAGCCCACCTAATGTAAATTATACGAGAAAGTTGTATGGATGCGCATAGAACTGAATACAGATAAAGAAAAGATCGCCTGGAAGTGTGCTAAAATATAGAGCAGTAGGAGATCGAAATATATATACTAAGGTATCTAGAATATGACTGTATATTGTCATTACATACAAAATGACTAGATAGGAAAAATGTGTGTGGTAGCAGAATATAGCTACAATGGTACAAAGAGGCAGATCGGACTGAATAGATACCGTACAAAAAAGCACCAGGAATTTAAACTGAGTCTGTAATTAGACACAGAATAACTTGATGAAGGAACATAATCTTATTGTAGAATATGGTAGTAATAGCTTATTAATGCACCCAAGAATGATTGGAAACATGAGAGGGTCCCCTGTAAGTGTGACTGCTTAAAGTTATATAAGGAATCTAAATATATATAACCTGAGATGATGCAATAGTAAAGGAAAGTAGGAAACACATCTTGTTGCACCATATATAGCTCGCCAAAAAGGTAAGTATATGTGTGCTACGCAAATTATATCGAAAAGCCTATCTAGAGATACCTAACTTGAATATAGATCCAGATGGGTTTCTATGGTTACCTGAGTGTGACTGGTTAAAGTAAAATAAAGAATCAAAAAATATATATAAAACCTGAAAAGATACAATGATAGAGGAAAATAAGAGACACATCTTGTTACACCATATGTAGGTCACCAAAAAGGTATGTATATGTGTGCTAGACAAATTGTATCGGAAAACCTATCTAGAGATACCTAACTAAGGTGTAGATCTAGTTGGATTACCTATGGTTCCCGGAGGAAAACTGGAGACCAATGGTTGTCAATATGTGTAGATGGAATGGTCTATACATGTGTCTGCTTTGAAATGCAGAGGTGGAGAAAGAAAGAGTATATCTAGTTTATAACATGTAAAATACGGCTAGTATTAACATGTCACCGGTATATGACCATAGACTAGGCTGGATTCCAATGGTAGAGAGCTAAAGTTATTTATATACAACCGGAAGAGTATAGCCCACAGGGATTTGGAGCTATAATACAGATGTCTTTGAAATCTACTTTCAAACTGCATTAGTTATTAGAAAGATTAACTATGTCTTGGTTCTAAGATGGATCTTATGTAGATGATTGCACATTATTTATGAATGAAAGGAGTAAAGTTGAACTCCTCATTTAGACTGTTTGGGGTCAGGGTTTTGAAATAGTAGATCCATCTTGATTCCTTCATTAGTAGCATTCTATTGTAATTTCCCTTTCTGGAATTCATAGATAATTTTTCTATGGCTTGAAAGGTCAAATGAGTGGGATCACCATCGTGGTGTAGTCTCACGTGATTTCCAACAGGGGTGGAAACCTTAAGATTAGTAATAGAACAGATGTGTTGAAGAACCCTTCTTTTGAATTCTTAGTATGTTTTACCAATATATTGTTTCTTGCAGCTGCAGGTTATCAAATAGATGACTTTAGTAGAGCTGCAATTGATAAATTCTTTTACTTTGTAATTCTTAGATGTTACTGTACTCTCAACCGTTTTAGATGGTTTGATGTATTTGCAGGCCTTGCAATGACCGCATTGGTAAATGCCTGCCGTTGGTGTAAGCCATGTTGGATTATGAGTGATTGGTTCAATGTGACTGTGGACCAAAAGGTCCCGGAGATTTCTTGCTCTGCGTGCCGTCACAGAACTGGCCAATATTACAGTATGATAAAGACCTAAAGGATAAAATCAGTAATTTTCCAACTATCACTGCACGCAAACCTTTATCTGGAAATCTATTCATAAACAGGGCTATACATAGGACACAAGGTCACACATTTAGGCTGAAAGAAAGGAGATTTTCCTAACATATGGTGGCAGGACAATAGGGATGTACTCTTTCCTCGGGACAAGCATCTGAAATAAATTACCATAAAAAGTCATATAAGAGACCCAACCAGCCCAGGGACCTCAGTTCTCTTTCTTGTTCCAACAGGAACGGACTCCTTTACCAGATGGTTTTAAAAGGAAAGTCTGTAATGTTTGCTCTTCCTTGACGCCAGAAAAATCCAAGCAACAAGAGATGAAATCCTTTTTGTCTTGGTTTCAGGATAATCTGGCCCAGACTTTTGAGTCTTTTAAAGATCCTGCTCACACTTCTCCTGTAAAAGCTACTAAACAGAAGTCTAAAAGGAAGAGAACTCCATCTAATTCAGAACTATCCTTGGGTGAATGTTCTTTTTCTTATTCAGAATCCTCTAGCGACTCTTCTATTTCTGAGGTTGGATTTCCTCATGATGAGTTGAGAAAATTTATTAAAGAGGTTAATGTTATCCTTTCTGATGAAACGGTAGATAAATCCAAGGGTAAAACACTGCCAGTCCAACAAAAAATGCTGTATTTTATATTCAGAGAATGGAAGAACCCTGAGAAAAGGGCTTTTGTCTCCAGACATTTTAAAAGTATTGTTAAAATAGAGGAGGAAGATAAATGGGAAGAATTGCCGAGAGGGCTGAAACTTCCAGCAGAAGGACTTATCAGGCTGCAGGTTTTCAGGCTAAAGCAGCATTAGCTGGGCTTCAGTGGTGAGAGCTCAGAATCTTTGGCTTAACACTTTGGAAGATGGTCTGCATGATAACCAAGACAAAGGTCTTTCCCTCCTGTTCCAGAATTTAAGGTTGTCTAATGAGTACCTTATGGATATTGTCACGGAGGTGATAAAGCTTTTGGCTCGTGTCATGGGTTTGACATCTGTGGCCCGAAGGGCACTGTGGCTTAAAGCCTGGACAGCAGACACTGCATCAACATTTGCATTATGTGAACTGCCTTTGGAGAAGAAAAAGTTGTTTGGTTCTCCTTTAGAAGAGTTAATCCGAAAAATGTCGGAAACCAAGAAGGCCCTGCCTCAAGACAGGAAATATGCCTGGAAACCCACATATAGAAATTTCCAGTTCAAAAACCGTAGGGGTTTTCAAGAAAAACCCAGGTTTTTTCGTCAACAAAGAAAAAATCCAAGATTTGACACACAAAAAGACCCTAAGTCTGACAGAAACAAACGTTTCTGACGCCATCAGAGTGGGCGGAAAGTTGCAAGGTTTTGTTCACAGATGGAGGGAGACCACTACAAAGCCATGGATTCTGAATCTGGTGCAAAATGGATACCGAATAAAATTCTCAGATGTTCCAAGACCGTGTTTCCTTGTCTACCGGTCGAAGTTAAAAAAACAAGCCCTTTTTTCTGCTACAGTCTCCCTATTAAGAAAAGGTGTGGTAGAAAGGATTCCAACTTCCCAAGTATATCAAGGGGTATACTCCAGGTTGTTCCTAGTCCCAAAACCGGACATGTCTTTTCGTCCAATCTTGGATCTAAAAAAACCTGAACTCATTCCTTACCAACTATAGCGTCTGTCACCCATATCCTTCAAAAAGGAGATTTCATGGCAACTTTGGATCTAAAGGATGCCTACCTGCATATTCCTGAGGATGTGAAATCAAGAAAATACCTGAGGTTTGCTATAAGGAAAGGAAAAAAGGTCCATCATTTCCAATTTAAAGCCCTTCCATTCGGGCTAGCTTCAGCACCCAGGATTTTTACAAAGGTCCTCACACCGGTCACAGCTTTTTTAAGGATGCAAGGAATCACAGTAGTACCTTACTTGGACGACTGGTTAATAAAGGCAGATTCAAGAGGCACTCTAGAGTCAGATGTGGCCTATACATTAGAAATCCTGGAAGAACATGGTTGGATTATCAACCTAGAAAAATCACACCTTACCCCTATGAGGTCTATCCTGTTTCTAGGGTTTTTGATCAAGTCAGAGTCTCTGTCGGTTCATCTAACAAGAGAAAAGAGGAAAAAAGATAAAGATTTTAATAAAAAACCTTCTTCTGATGTCAGAATGTTCAGTGAGGAAAGCCATGCAGGTTTTAGGTAATCTGACCTCTACAATTCCGGCAGTAAAATGGGCCAGAGCGGAATCAAGGCCCTTACAGTGGGAAATTCTTATCCAATGGCCAAAGAAGGAAGAAGACTTGGATGCTTTAATGAGTATATCAGATCATACAAAAGAAAAGATCTCTTGGTGGGTAGGGGGAAAATTCATTACAGAAGGCCTGTCTTTTTGTAAAAAATCTTGGATTGTGATTTCTACAGACGCTTCAAATACAGGTTGGGGAGCTCTCCTCCTGTATCACTTAAGACAAGGTGTTTGGTCAAAAAAGGAAACAAAGGAATCTTCATATTTCAGGGAGTTGTTTGCAGTTCTCTATGCTCTTCAGCAATTCAAGGATTTGCTTATAGGAAAAGCTGTAAAGATCCAGTCGGACAATCAGACTACAGTCTCCTACCTAAACAAACAAGGCGGTACAAGAGTAAAAAAATTGTATTTCCTTTGCTCACGGATTATGTCCTGGGCTTAAAGTCATTTAGATGACATTTCCGCCATTCACATTCGAGGAGTAAACAACATGGTAGCGGACGATTTAAGCAGATCAAAATGGTCCCAGAACGAGTGGTCTCTCAATCCAGAAATTTTCACTCTTCTGGTGAAGAGATTCGGTCTGCCAGTCATAGACCTTATGGCAAGAAGATCAAATGCAAAAGTAAGATCGTTTGCCTCATTCTTCAAGGTAGACAAGCCGCTGGTAATGGATGGTCTTTCGATCCGGTGGGAATTTCCCCTTGTTTAAATTTTTCCCCCAGTGAGCCTTGTCCCAAGGATTCCGCAAAAGGTAACATCAGATCAAGCTCGTATTCTGGCCATAATACTGTACTGGCCAAACCGCAGCTGGTTCTCGGTTTTAAAGAAGATGGCTTTAAAGTACTGGATACTCCCGGTAACACCGGATCTTCTGGAAAACAAGGGAATTACAGTAGAAGTATTGTTGACGTCTTGGCTGCTGCACGGCTTGACGGCTTGGCTGCTGCACGGCTAATTCTGCATAATAGGGGCATAAAGAAGAGAAGTTTCAGTTACTGTTAAATTCTACCAGAAGCTCTACTTCTTCTATCTACTTAAAAATTTGGACGAGATTTCTTCACTGGTGCATATCTCATTGTTGCATAGGATCCTCTCATTCTACTGATACTATCCTTCATTTTTTGCAAGGTGGTCTTGTTCAAGGTTTTAGTCTGTCTACCCTCAAAGTCCAAGTTTCCGCTCTCAGTCATTTTTTGGTAAAAAATTGGGCTTCTGATCCTCTCATTAGGAGATTTTTTTAAAGCTGTTAGACTCGTAAACCCTCCTAAGAAAATCTGTTTTCCCTCTTGGGATTTGTCTTTAGTTTTGAAATCTCTGTGTACTCAGCCTTTCGAACCTTTGGAAGAAGCTTCATTGAAGAATCTGTCCCTGAAAACCGTGTTTTTGGTGGCCATTACTTCGGCTAAGAGGATAGGGGAACTCCAGGGCCTTTCTTCCTCTTCTGCCTTTACAAAACTTCTTCCGGATAAAGTGGTTATGTACCCTAAGCCTTCCTTTCTTCCGAAAGTCATCTCCTCCAAGGTTATAAACCAACCTGTTTTTCTTCCTTCCTTTAATAGTCCATCTATGCCAGATTGGAAATTTGATTGGAGCCAACTAGATGTGGGTAGATCTCTGAAAATCTACTTGGACTGCTCATCTACGTATAGGATGACTGATCATCTATTCATGAATTTCTTTGGAAAATTTAAAGGGCAAGTTGCCTCCAAGGCCACTTTAGCTAGATGGCTGGTGGATACTATTAAATTGGCCTATTCTTCCTCGTATCTACCTCTGCCTGCCTCCTTTAAAGCACATTCTACTAGAGCCATGGCTGCCTCTTGGGCCGAAAAAGCTTGTGCCTCTCCGGAAGATATATGCAAGGCGTCTACCTGGTCTTCTTTCAACACTTTTGTCAAGCATTACAGGCTAGACGTATTCTCTGCCTCTGATGCTGATTTTGGGCACAAGGTGTTACAAGCTGTTATTGCCTAACTTCCCGCCCTTAGTATGGGATCTCGATATATCCCTATTGTACTGCCACCATATGTCAGGAAAAACTGTAATTTTACTCACCGTAAATTCCTTTTTCCTTAATATGTTGGCAGTACATCACTCCTTCCCCTTATGTATATATATTATATTTGGGTGTTCTATGGCTTCACTGAGGTGTTCTTGGTACGTACTGAGGTCCCAGGGCTGGTTGGGTCTCTTATACCTGGTAAGGGGAGGTACTTTTTATGTTAATTATTTATTTCAGATGCTTGTCCCGAGGGAAGAGTACATCCTTATTGTACTGCCACCATATTAAGGAAAAAGGAATTTACGGTGAGTAAAATTACAGTTTTCATCTAAGGCAAAGAAAGGGTTTTTTTTACAGTAAGAGCAATAAGGATATGGAATTCTCTGCCTGAAGAGGTGGTTTTGTCCGAGTCACTACAGATGTTTAAACTGCAATTGGATAAATACTTACAAAAACATAACATACAGGCATATAATTTCTTATTAGTGGGGTAATAGCTGCTTGATCCAAGGAGACATCTGACTGCTATTTTGGGGTCAAGAAGGACTTTTTTTCCTAGTTTATGGCAAAATTGGAAGCGCTTCAGACTAGGTTTTTTGCCTTCTTTTGGATCAACAGCAACAACATATGTGAGGAAGGCTGAACTTGGACGCAAGTCTCTTTTAAGCTATGTAACTATGTTACCCCTACATGTGAATAAACAAGAAAAAGAGGATAGGAGGATCAAGACGTATTTAATAAAAATAGATAAGGGGAAATAAATGTGACCTATGTCTTTACAGGATCCTCAGAGTAACAACAACACATAACATATTACACCATGTCATGATTAATTTAACAAAAATAAAGCCAAAATGGAGAAACCATGTGTGAAAAACTAAGTACACCCTTACAGTTTCTACAGGAATTAAGAAGATAAGTAGCAAACAGGTGCTGCTTTTGCTAATACTTATTTTCTTTATTGCAATTTACAATTATTTTATATACATTGCAAGTCGTACATACAAACAGATGTAATGCGAGCTGTATACAGTACAATTTCAAGTAAACCGGTTAGTACAAAATTTATTTGCATACTTCGGTGAGCCAGTAAGTAGCCACACAAGGATTATATTAATAGGGGCCTGTCAAGACTGACAATTTAGCTTACAATTTAATGGTGAAGTGTTTTATTAGTTGTTAAATTACTTAGACAAGAAAAAGAGATAGAGGATAGGAGGATCAAGATGTATTTCATTAAAATAATTAAGCTTATATATGTACAACAAAGTGCATCAGAAAATTTAAAGTAACCTGTGTGCCTTTATCTACATGAAAGTGCATTGAAACATGCGCATTCTAATTTTAAGGACGGCGGGGAAATGAATTAGCTACATGGGTGGTGAGTGAATTTTATCAATTAACTAATCAATTGTTTGGATATAAAAGTTTGTTATATGCATTTGTGATGTATTGATACTGAGCAAAGTCATGGATGAGGGCTGAAACGTCGAGTTTTAACATGGATATGAAATAAAGGAATTTTACTACGTGAAAAGACCGTGCGTGCAAGCCTCTTACTATTTATAGTATAATTTTTTGGCATTGGCTATAAGAATGCACCCAGCATTTAGAATATTAGTCAGTGTGCAAGGACAAGCGAAGACATATAGAACAAGAGCCATTTTTGACAGACTCTGATCCTATGCACCGACAAATTAATCCTGCTATTATTGCAACAGAATGGACAAATAGTTATTTGATTGGAATTTACTCCTTATTGAATATGGATCATATATATGAATTTATGTTACAAGCTGGAGGGTATGCCGAACAAGTGGAAACCCTCCATTTTACCAAAAGAAGAGGCACAAGCAATACTTTAGGTACAATCTAGCACTGAATTACCATATAATGTCACCTGCAAAGATGTATATTTTCAACTCTTAATGCTACACAGGAAACGTATAGACTTGGATCTACATGGATTGTTCCTCTCGGATTATTATAAGGCGATACGGATTCCACGTGGCTTTCGGATAATTAATATACCCACTATTGGGAGATCAAAAGCAAAGGTGTGCAGAGTCTGGACTGCAGTTCTCAATAAGGCATCATTGGACCTCATGATAATCTTAATACAAGATGTGAAGACTGACCTGAAAAATATTGTACGTAAAATAACAGAGGTTGAAACAGAACATACTATTTTATTATCTACCCCGGAGGGTATGAAATTACTAGATAAACTAAAAGATGAATTGTTGAAGTATAAAAATGATCTCATCAGATTTAAGAAACAAAAATCTGAATATGTACAACAGGATTATCTGGAACACCGGGTCTACAAATGGCTGAATGGAGAACAACAATGTAGACCTAGTAGGCCACGTAAGAGAATAGTGCGCCCAAGAGCACACACCATAGATGTAATCTCAGGAGAGTGTGCATCAGACACGGAGCCACCAAATGTAAGTGACACAATTCAAACCGAAATCACACTTTGACCCACAAAGCAACAAGGCGAACATTAAAACATTCTTGTCTACAGTTGAACATGAAACTATGGAAGTTATTAAATAACCATGCCACAGACAACACAATTTGACTAGGAAACAACGTCAACTCATTGAGGATTTGGATTTCAACCATTGTGATCCGGCCCGCCGATAAGGGTGGGTGTATAGTCTTTATGGACTACAATAAATATGCAGCAGAAATAACGAGGCAGTTGCAGGACACTAATACATATGAATTATTAAAAGGTGATCCAACAAGAGAAGTACAAGGGAAAATAGAAGATTACTAACTATGGGATTGAGAGCTAACTATATAGACCATAGCCTAAATTTATATTTAATTGAGCAACATCCGAGGACACCAATTATATACACCATCCCAAAAATACATAAAAGTCAAACAGATCCACCAAGGTGCCCCATAGTGTCTGCAATTGGAAGTGTCTTACAACCAATAACTAAACGGTTAGATGCTTTATTCAAAGACACAGTCCAAAATCTCCATACCTGTGTAAAAGACACACACTCGCTTTTGACAATCTTGAAGTCACTACATATAGAAGCAAGCCAACCTGTACTTATTACAATGGACGTCAACAGCCTCTATACCATCATCCCGCATGATGATGGTGTAGAGGCTATGAGATGGGTGCTGTCCTCTTCATCTGTTTATAAAGGCCCTCCTATCGAGTACACACTTGAATTATTGGAACTTACATTGAAAAACAACCACTTGCGTTTCGAGCAACAATGGTACATGCAAATATCTGGAACGTGCATGGGTGCCGCTATGGCTCCCATGTATGCGAATGCGTATATGTTGTGTTTGAAACAGAGCACATACTGAAGCCATTTCAACAACACATTATAAGTTATTTTCGCTTTATAGATGATGTGTTAATTATATGGGGAGGTACGGAAACACAAGCACACGGAATGGTGGAGTACATTAATCATCTTCCAACACCAGTACGAATGACCGCTAATGTTAGCACAGAGAAGGTCCAATTGTTGGACTTGGAGTTATCTGTACAGGAACACAAAATTGTCCAAACCAACGGATCGAAACACAATGTTACATTACAACAGTGCTCATCTGACGGCTCTTAAAAACTCCATACCTCGTGCT